AAAAGAAAAGAAAAGAAAAGAAAACGACCAACACTGGCACAGCACAGCTAAGTTTCCAAGTCATTTTATCTACTTTAGCTCATCAACACCTCACAAAGGATCCCATGAGATAAGTACAGTTGGTATTATTATCATTACCCCACTTTACAGATGAGAAAACTGAAGTTCAGAGGCAAGATTTTCATGTGGGGCTCTCTGGCTCCAAATCCATCTGTCTATATATTAAAGAATTACAGAATTTGAGAGTTGGAAAGGATCTCAGCAAGCATCTAATCCAAAGCACTGGCAAAAGGCATCTCGAATATAAAGTACCGAGGCAAGTGGTCCCCCAGTCGCTGAGTGGGGACTGCCAAGGTGGGGGAGCCCAGCACCTTCTGAGGCCCAGCAGTGCCCTCCGTGGTGATGCTAACCTTCGAGAGGCTGTGTCTGTGACATCAAGCCTGATTCTGACTTTGCATGATCTCTCTCTCTCTGTCTTTCCATGTATCTATCTATCTATCTATCTATCTATCTATCTATCTATCTATCTATCTATCTATCTATCTATCTATCTATCTATCTATCTATCTATCTATCTATCTTTTCATCTATCCATCTATTTATTCATCCATCCATCCATCTGTCTATCTATCTATCTATCTATCTATCTATCTATCTATCTATCTTTTCATCTATCAATTCATCTATTTATCTATCTAGCCATCCATCTATCTATTCATCCATCCATTCATCTATCTTTCCATCTATTTATTCATCTATTTATTTATCTATTTATAATCTACCTATTCATGTATCTGTCTATTCACCTGTTTATTTCTCTATCTATCCATCCACCAATTCATCTACCTATCTATCATTTTTCTTTTCCTTCCTTCCTTCCTTTCTTCCTTCCTTTCTTTCTTTCTTTCTTTCTTTCTTTCTTTCTTTCTTTCTTTCTTTCTTTCTTTCTTTCTTTCTTTCTTTCTTTCTTTCTTTCTTTCTCTCTTTCTCTCTTTCTTTCCTTCTTTCTTTCTTTCTTTCATCTTGCTAAGATCTTGCCAAAATATATATATATATATATATATATATATATATATATATATATATATATAATATATATATATATATTATATATATATATATATATATATATATATATATATATATAATTATATATATATATATATATATATATATATATATATATAATACTAGAGAAAAGGAACCATTACAAACATTTCACTTGGGTCTCAGTTTCCTCACCTGTAAATAGGGGACCAAAATACTCATGTTTCCTACTTTGCAGAGCAGGTAAGAAGAGAGAACTTTGTACATTCTGGAACCTTACGAAGCGAGGAACACCAGACACCCCAAACTCCTAGTCTCAGTATTTAGCTTTTATGCCCATTCTTAGTAGTGGTTTTCTAATTCAGGTTTTGTTATTTCCAAAGCTTTAGGGCTCAGCTCTAGGGATGATTATTCGGATCACAATTCAATAACCATGCTCTGTGCATGAAGCTAGGCATTAGTAATACTAGTGAGCATTTGTGTAAAGCCTTCAGGTGAACAAGGTTTGGACACGCACTGTTACCAAGTGAAGTGTGACGCAGACCCTGCTTTCAGGGAGACTGCAATCTAATGGGATTTCTGCATCATTTTCCAATCTAATTTTTTCATTCAAGAAAGCCATACGAAGCTACAAGAATTGTTTGCTGAGTGCAACCACAGTCCCAAACAGTTATTTACACGTGTGAAAAATTCATTCTTGGGAAGCTTCAGAAAAGAAGATAATTAATGCCTTCTCTTCAGAGTTTTCAAGTTATAAGGACTAGCTTATGGCCAGAGATGCAGGATGCTGGGACGGACCGGGAGGGAGAAGATGGAAGGCGCCTTAGGCACCATGGAGTACCATCTCATTTTTACAGATGAGGAAACCGAGGGCCAGGGAGATGAAGGGACTCCCAAGTTACACAGCTAGGAAGAGGCAGAAGTAAGATTTGAACCCAGGTCCTGGGAATCCAATTCCCCCATCTTCCAGTGAGGGTAAGGGACTGACCCAAGGTCACAGAGCTGGGATTCAAACTAAAGTTCTTGAGGTCACCATCGGCTAGCATCAGAACAGGTTGAGGAGGGCTTGAGCCTCAGTGAACAAGGAGAAAGTCTATTCAACAGGAATGGCCCACTTTGCCTTATGGGCCAGGGGAGGGGAGGCTGGGCCAATGCTTGCTTTGTGGTTCCAAAGGACAAGAGCTGGCTTTCTCAAATGGCTGACTTTTCCAAAACTGGGTCCAACGGGCAGTATGCAGTACTGGACTTGGCACTGTGAGGGAACCAAAGGCAAGGCTGTGAACCAAGACCTTGCCTCAGCATGGCCAGCAATAATTCCAGTTTGTCATTCGACATGACGGCTATGCCAGAGTGAGAGTAGCAGGGACCAGGACTGGCCATGTGGAGAGAGATGACTGACCTGTCGTGAGGAAAAGGGTCACCAAAAATTTTCTCACACCCTTCTCCTTAAGATAAGACGGGTTTGTCAAGCAGTAATAGATCACAGCAGAGCGTGGTTAGGAAGGCAGTCAAGTATAAGCCAGAGGGTCACGCAATTTGGTCTTAAGAGATCACTCACCTCCTCCAACCCTCTCACTTTCTAGAGGCCCAGGAGGGCGAAAAGACTCAGATCATGCAGGTGAGAAGTAGCACAACTAGATTTCAAATCCAGGGCCTCAGGCTGCAAATTAGTATTTTGTTTTACCATACAGAATGCCTCTGACCCATGATCATTGTTCTATACTACTTGCTTATACAACATCTTTGATCCCAGCTCTGCAAGGCACTGCCTGTGTGGTCTTAAGAATGCCATTACTCTCTGTAAGCCTCAGCTTCCTGATCCATAAAACGAGCAACTGAGTCTCGTTACCTTAAAGGGCCCTTCCAGCTCTAAAGCTCTGATTCTATGACCAACTTTTAAATGATGTTAATAAAATATCTTTTAAAAAATCAGAAAAAGCACAACAGAATCACGAGCTCAACTACTTGCTCTTATGGGACTGGACTGGAAGGCCACTGGGGTAGTGTGACCCCCAACTGCCTTCCAAAGAGTTGACCCCAGTCCATTTTTCAGTCAACACAATGACACTGGAGAGAAGGCTTGTGGATGTGGGATGAGTAAGGACCATAAGGGAAGGAGGGTGAATCAAGTTCAGACAAAATAAAGAAATGAATATGTGGCTTCATGGCCACTTCTTCAAGGGAGATGAAGGCAATCATTGACCTAGTATGATGAATGGAGGACGGATGAAAGTCAAAGGGATCTCCACTTATTTTGGGGGGAGGGCTAGTGGCAAATCAGATTTTTAAAAATTAATAGAATTTATAGTGTATGTTTGCAGGTTATTAGGAGCACCTGCTAGTAATTAGTAAAGCCTCATTAATGCTTGATTATTGCCAATTGGAAGCTCAAGGTAAAATAGGACTGCTTATGTGGTATGTTTGTATCTAATCACAACAGAAAAGCTTGGCAGGTGGCAAAGGAAGAGGGAAGGAAAGCTTTTCTGGGGCTTCCCTCCTTTTTTATGGGAGGCAAAGGGTTAAGGGTCAACAAAACATTCATACCTCCACATAACATTCCACTGAATCCTCGAGTGGTATCAAATGGGGGAGGGGCATTTCTAGTGGCCACCAGAGAAGGAGGAATGACCACAAGTCATTGGACTTGGCTCATTTTTATTTCCCTCATCACTGATGGTTCTTGACCACTCCCATCAACATGCTTCTTAGGGCCCCCCCAAAACTGGCACCCCTTGGTCTCAAGGCAACGTTATCCAAGCTTTCTTACAAAATTCTTAAGGAAGGGGAGAGCAATAACTACCCCTGACCATGCCATTAATATGGAATGGTCTGAAGAACATCAGGGCACACTTGCTGGTCACCTTACCCAGTCACCTGAGGGGGGAGGCAAGGCCCTCCTCCTCTCCCCAAGGCCAAACTGTGACTCAGTTATTCATCCCTAGGGAAAGCTGAGCTGGTTGGCTCAGACTGGTGTAACTCCAGCAATACTGAGTCCTGGTGTGACCCTGAAGTCAGCTGGTAGGATTAGCCCCTAGGCTGAGAGGTGTGTGAATGTGTAAGTGTGTGTGAATGTGAGCGTGTGTGAGTGTGTGAGTGTGAGTATGCGAATATATGAGTGAGTGTGTATGTGCATATGTAAGTGTGTATGTGTGTATGTGCATTGTGAGTGTGTATGTGTGTGCGCATACGTGAGTGTGTATGTGTGAGTGTATATGTGAGTGAGTGTGTATGTATATGTGCATATGTGTGTGAATGTGTGAGTATGTGTGTGTGAGTGTGTATGTGCATATGTAAGTGTGTGTATGTGTGAGTGTGTATGTATGTGTGTGCGTGCGTGTGAGTATATGTGTGAGTGTGTGTACGTGGCTTCTAAAGATAAGTAGTAGAATGACTGAGCATATTTAGGCTCCTCTTGATTCCGGAGGAGTTCCAACACCTCCAAGGTCGAGCCGTTTAGAACTTGTGAGACGGCTGTGCTTTTAAGATGCTCCAGTTCCCTTTGTCAGCCTCAGTACAGAGCTACACGTCCCCCGAGACCAGAGTCCCTGCGCTGGGGTGGGCAAGTGACAGGTCTGTCCTTTACTGCACAGGTCAGACAAAGATGGGGAGCCAGCGGGTGGCGGTGAGGTGGAACGCTTACAATGAGAGGGAACGTCCACAGCTTCAGCCAATCTAGCGTTGAAGCTTTGCCTTTTGACCCAAAGTCTAACCAGGTAAGCCTGCATCTGCCGGTGCTCACCTGGGCCACAGCGCCTAAGAAGAGGTGCCAGCTTCCGACATGTGAGACTTGCAAGGCCTAACCTATAAGACAGCGGCAAATGTCACCGATCCCCTCCATCCAGCAAAGCCTGCCCATCTACACCAGCACAAACACGCACACACCTGTACGTACAGAGACACACGGGATGCGTCTTTTGGGCTAGGCTGGTTTCCTCGGGGCATGATCACCTTACCTGAATTTGGTGAAATGTGCAGACTGCTCATGTCCTTGGCCAGGCCGTTGGTCTTGGGGCTGGAGATGGGGGCGCAGGCCGATGTGGCCCGGGGCGGTCTCTTCCCTGGGACTTTCACAGTGGTCCTCAGAAGGTCGATCTCCTTCCCATGGACGTTCTGCATGTAATCCTGCCCAAAGACAGAAACAAAAGACACATGACCAAAACTACTCCAAGAGAAGACACGGAGAGAAAAGTTCCAGAAAGGCAAAGATGGAGGCCGAGCTTTGCTTAGAGCTGAGGAACCTGGGGCAGAGAGGCGGCTGATTTGGCCGAGTGACGGTCTGAGGGAGGGTGGGACTCAGGGACAATGAAGATGATGGATAAGGAGCACAACAGCCAGGTGAAGCGGTGAAGGCCCAGAGAAGGAAGGTCACATGGTAAGTGGGGAGACCTGGGTCCTCAGCCTCCAGGTGCCCTCCCCTTTCAATCGGAGCCCCCTCACATTCTAGATGTATGATTCCATATGTACTCTACGTGCTAGCTACAGTTATCGTACCCATTTTATATACAAGGAAACCAAGGCTCAGATAGGGACAAGTAGATGGATGGATGGATGGCTAATAGCTAGGACCCAGAAAAGAATACTTGGCATTGTATGTTAAAGAGCGTGGGGCACAGAGGGCTAGACTTGGGAGTCAGGAAGGCCTAGTTTCAAATCTAGCCTTAGACGCTTCTTAGCTATAGAATTCTGGGAAAGTCAGCCTTCCAGGACTCAGTTTCCTCATTGGACTCCAAGTCTTTGATCCTATGAAACCTATCCTAGGTGTATAACTTGAGTCAAGTCATTCACGTGCCGTGAGCCCCAATCTTCTCACCTCTAAGATGGGGACAGTCCTAGCGCCTACTTCATAAGGTTCGGGAGGAACTGATAAGACAATGTGCCTCAAAGAACCACAGATTCAGGACGGGATGGTACCAGAGGCCATCTTGGGCAGTCATGCCAAACTCAATTAGAAACAGAGCCCTGCTGGCTGCGTCCTCAGAAAACCACACATTATCATTATTTATGTTATAGTGTATTTTTATTTATTTTGTTCAACATCTCCCAATGACATTTTGACGTGGTTTAGCAGGACTCGGGAGTTTTGTGAAGCAGTCTGATACCTCTGATCTAGCCCCATTTCACAGATGAGGAAACTGAGATCCAAAAAGGTAAAATGACTGAGTTATTGGGATCCCGGCTTTCCAGCTGGCAGGAGCTGCAGACACCAGTTAGCCTGAATCTCTAGTTTTACAGATGAGGACATCAGGCCTACCCGTATGAAGGGGCTTGCGTGGCACCACACAGATGGGAAGGGCAGAGTGGGGCTTCACGGAGTCTTGTCCCAAGACTCCCAAGGTTGGCCCTCTTTCCAGGAAGTTGTCTGCAAACCTACACAAACACCAGCTAAGACTGTTTTGGAATGCTGTTAGCATATCAACAGAGCACAGGCAATTATTCGGACTTACAGCTATGTCCACGCTGATATTCTTAAATAAAGGGAGGACAGAAGACAACAATGGCGACAATGACAAAAGAGGTCTGGGGAGGAAGAGGGCTGAGCATGGCCAAAATCACTTCGGTGAATGCAGAGAGGCAGAGAACAGGCCACCGCCGGGATGGGCGACTGCCTGAGAGCCACAGGGAAAGGCCTCGCTCTTACTAGAAGGCATGGGCGCCCACATGGAGACGCATGGGAATTGGAGCATTAGGGACACAGGACATAATTATGTGAGCCCAAGTCTGCTTGTCCCTTTGATGACTGCTGCCCAATGAGGAAAGACTGTGCCCTGCCCCTCAGGGGAAGACAGCAGGGAGAGGGATGTCGGGCAGGCTTTCTACCACCCCGCACTCAGGTCACCTGTGGGCTCGCCTCTGGACACTGTCCTGGCCACAAGCAGAAAGGTTCATCTGAGTCTGTCTGGCAAGACTCCGCCAATCCATGCTTGTCAGGGCAGCTCCTTCTGGTTCTCTGTCCAACAGCAGTGCTTCCCCACAGTTCAAATCCCTGGCAGAATCGCTCCCTCCAAAGCCTGGTCCACACAGGTCCTTGAGGGGCCTCCTGGGCAGGGTGGGGCTGGCTGGGATGGCCTCAGGCTCCTTCCAGCTCTGGGCCACAAGGATCCCCTGGAGAGACTAATACTTCTGCTCCACCTTTTCTATACCGACAGCTGTGAAACTGGGGAGTTGGGCAAAATGACCTCTAGGGTTGTGGCCGGCTAGCCATCACATCGGCTCTATGAAACGGACTGAGCCAGTGGAACGGCTGACTCCACCTGCCCATGAACCCAAGGCTGCCCCTTGAACTGGCGTGAGCGCCGTTCCCGCCTCCATGTGTTTACCCCGGCTGGAGCACTGTTCCCACCTCCAGGCGTTTACCCAGGCAGATGGAAACCTGTTCTGTAAAGCACTTCCTCATCACCTTGGCTTCTTTGAAGCCAAGGAACCACTGAGGAACTCCAAGGAACATCCTTCTTGAGAAGGAAAACTGATGAAACAAATGGAAAGGACACCGGGTGTGGAGGCCAAAGACCTGAGTGACGATTTCAGTGCCGCCATTTTTTTCCTGGCGTGAGCTGGGGAAAGTCATTCACCCGCCTGAGCCTCAACTCTCTTGAGTATAAGGGGGAGGTTGCCTTAATGGCTTCCAAAGCCCCTTTCAGTTCAAAGTCGCCATCCAATGATCTGCTCCACAAATCTCTATCTAGGCTGTCCAAATTCATCATTCAGGGATTTCTCTTTTTTGGGCTGTTGTTGTGGTGCCAGAGTCAAGGGATGCCCATCAAGGTGTGTCTTTAATGAGGTAAACAGAAGCAAAAGCACTTCAATCCCCTGTCCCTGCTCTCACACCACCATCTATACAATAACCGATAATAGACCGATATATCTAATATAGAGTACCATGTGCTGTGTGACCTTGGGTAAGTCACCACCTCCCTGGACCTCTGTTTACTCAACTCTAAGATGAGGCAGTTGGCCTGGATGACCTTGAAAATCTCTTATGGCTCCAAGTGCAGGATGCCAGTTGACTCTGAGTTTAGACCAATCTCCTTCTAGACTAATCAGGGCTGGCTCCTAGCTGTCCAAGCAGACCCCTGGCTATCACCCAAGGGATGGAGCCAGGATGCCTCATGGCGGCCTAAAACGCACCAACCTCTCTATCCTCCTGCAGGCCAGCTCAGCCAAAAGAAGGCTGGCCACATTTTCTTCTTGCCTTTTTGACAGCTCTCATGCACTGTGGCCAACGGCCTCATCTTTAAGGCCTTTCTGCAAAGATACACTCCAAGCATGCAGTCCAAATTCTGGATTCCCATTTCTTAATAATGGCTGAGTTCATTTCCTGATGCCTTCTCCTCCTCATTGCAGAAGATCTGTTCCTTAGGAAATATCAACTTGCTATAACTTTCTTCTTTAATGCCAATTCTTAACAAATTAAAAGACAATAACAGGGGTGTAATTGAGCATTTATTGCTTATGGGCTCAGAGATGAGGCTAATCAAAGAGTGACTAAATCCTCAGCATGGTTTCTTTTAATAGACAGGCGAGTTTTAATATACAATAACTACAATATTTTATTTAAATCTGTTGTTGAAATGTACAAAGCGCCTGCTCATTTCGAGGGCCAAGGGATCACACTTGCTCCTGACCCTTTCGAGGGCCAGAAGATTGGCTTTCCTGCATTCAATAGGGTAGGAAAGTCTGATCAGTAGTGCAGACTTAGGTGGGGAAAGACACCTCAGAGGCGGTCTAATCCAATCCCCTCACTAAACACATCAGGAAACTGAGGCCCCCCAGGTGAAGTGACTTGGGAGCCTAAGATTTTGGAATGGGAAGGGCCCTCAGAGGTCATCCACACCAACTCCCTCATTGTAGAGAGGGCCCAGATGGAGGAAGATGGAGGAAGCCACGCGCATTGGGACCTGTGCATCAAAAGATACTTTGTCATCCCAAAATTGTGCTGGATGAGTCACGCTTTTGGGGTGACGCTCAGGAAGCCCCCAGTTTAGATGTGTGGTGCTGCTTTCCAGCAAATAGAATTTTCACAGTTCTACGGGGACATATTCACTTTTGCGCCACAAACAGGTGGAGAGGGCACACACAACCTTTCTGTTGGTTTCAGGGTAGCAAGGAAACCCTGGGTCTTTTCTCAGGGGAAGAAGAAAGAACACTAATTTGTTTTGCTTTCATTTGCTTTTTTTTTTTTTTAAAGGAATCAGAGTTTTCCTTCTCCCTTCTAGCAACTGGGGACTTGAGGAATGAAAGGGAAAATCACGAATTAAGAGGGAAAACCTCTTGGGAACATGCAAACTTCAGAAGCCACTCAGGGGTGGTTTGATCACAGGCTGTAGAACAGACTGGAGTCTCACTGTTATCTGGAATATGCTGCCAGAAAGGCAGGCTGGGAGCCGGATGGATTTTGATATGCAAATGAGAGCAATGCCACCCTGTCGGATGTTAGCGGGGAGAAAATGCTGATCGGAGGAAAAAGGGGAAAGGAGGCATCTAACAAGGCATGAGGGTAATTCACAGCCAAGGACTTTTAAACAGCTCTTAACAAGTCCCTGGAGCCCACTCGAGGGCCACCCCAGAAGCACCATCTCTGGCCCCTCAACAGCTTGAAGAAGTAGTCATTGAAAACCCATTTGCATTTTCTTCTCAGGTTGTCCAAGCTCATCATTGGGGATTTTTTTTTTTTTTGGATTGTTGTGTTTAACACAGGTGCTGAGCCAAGGGATCTCCACGGAGGTGCGTCTTGAACGAGGTAAACAGCAGCATCTCAATCCCCTGCACCCTGTGCTCACACCTCCGCCATCCCTTGTTTTCTACATTTCGCTCCTAATTATGTTGCATCTATTGCCATACACTTAATTAGCTGCATTAATGTGATTTCTTTTCACATAGTCAAGCAATTAAGAGCTATGATTGAGTTTCATTCAATTAGCCTCAACAAACATGCTAATTGATGTCCCAGATGCAAATGAGGTACGATGAGAGAAACCTGCTAGCTACTGGAGTTGTGGCAGAGACCCACGGCTTGCAGCTTGCTGACGGCAGCATCACTTCCCGGGGCTACCACCTTCTGCGGGAGATGAGCCATTAGTGCCTCAGTGTACCCAATGGATCTCCACATGAAACATCCTTTGATT